GGGGGCTGGCGGGTGGGGCTATGGTAATTAAGTCTTAAAATCAGGATAGATCTCTATAATTTATAACTTCATACAACTATAACCTCAACAAATGGTTAATTACTACAGCTTTTATTGTATGCAATTATCTTTTTGCGGTATAAAAGGTTCTACATGTAGGAAAACATAAATATTTTTCATATATTTAAACATTTGGAAAAATAAATGAGCAATTTTTTATTTCTCTTTTGCCAACACATTTAAATCATGATAGGTAATACCTTTTTTAGATAGGTAATGGACTTTTTTGGAAGTCCATATCACAAAATCAGATATACTGTATTTAATATAATACAACAGATATTACATCAGCAGCAACAATATAGAGAAAGTCTAAACATGCTATTATTCTTTTTACTCCATGTATTTCCCAGAGCTAAGTGAAGCTCTAAATGTTACCGTCACCCCTGGGCCAGTCAGCATGTGTATGCAGGGAGACAACATCACTTTGTCCTGCTTAGTGTCTCAGAGAAAGAGAAGCAGCAATGTCCTGGTGCTACGCTGGCTCTACTTCCCCACCCCTGAAGACGAGCACCTCGTGGTCAGGATGGGCATGAAGAAGAGCAAATATTATGGCAACTACAGCAAACACTTTCCCCAGAGCAAGTTCCACTTGCGGGAAGAAATGGACGGTCAGATCTACCGTTTGCTGATCCTGAATGTGTCCCTGGAGGACGGGGGCAACTATACCTGTAAAGTGCAGGAAATACGGAAGCACAGAAACAAGTGGAGGGCCTCGTCGAATGGAACAGGGAGCATGGAATTACGAGGTAACTTGAGGATTTTTAAAGCAGTGTCTTAAATGATGTACAATACACTGTACTCAGCCTTCTAGTATATGGCTTCTTAAGGATACTATTGTCTGAAATGCACTACATGGAAGCATTCGCCTTTTTCAGTCGATGATCCTCTCATTTTGGTGTTGCTGTTAACTTTAGCATGTTAGCTAACCAAAGCCCAAAGCATACTTCAGACTTTACTGCATTTTTCAGTGTGAACACTTGCACTACTTGTACTACAAAATGGCAAAGAATAGTGCAGAAATATGCCAAATGCAAATGACCAAATGCACAATGTGAAAGCTTTTTAAGCAAGTTAGCAATCTGGAGTTTAAAACAAACATTCAATTCAGGAACTAGTCACTAGCGCCAGCGAACACTGTGGTTGAGTTGGATGTGGTGGAAGAGTGATGTCTTGCTACGGTCAGGGCTAACCACACAACAGCTGTTTCCTCCAGTTAACTAATCCTTTAGATCATCCAACAGAGGGTCAATTCCAATTCCACAATTGGCGACAAAGTTCTTTGTTAGCTATTTGTAAACTTCTTTTACAGAGGGGATGGTCTGTCTTTTCAGAACATCACAAAAGAGCGACTATCAGATTCACATAGTGACATTACTTCATGTCAACAGTTCAAAGCCCAAATCCAAATAGTTTTCAAATGGTCCATAAAATTTCAAATAATCAACATGAAAATGAGGCGTAAATGTTCCCATTTCTCACGTTGTAGCCTTTTCTTACATGCTAGCTTCAGTGTGTTTGTAAGTCTCAGGGTTCCACTTTCCACATATATACATCATTTCCACTATAAATGTGTTCTGGGCCAACACAAACAGACCTTGAGGCTGTTAACGAGAGCAACCTGGACATGCTGTGGGGACAGAGAGAGGAGACTTGGCAAGGATGCAACTGAAAACATTTACTCTGGCTGCATTATGAGTTTTCCTATGGTGTTCGGACAGCAAGAGGTCCCCAAAGCCTCAGCGTCCATTGGATTAATCATCTGCGTGATAAACGGCAATTGCCTGATGCTAGCAACAATAAAGAGAACAAATAAGTATTGTTGCATGCACTTGCAGTGACAGTTCACTCAAAAATAAACATTCTGTCATCATTTACTTAATTTCTGCAATGACTTTCTCGCTTCTGTAGAACACAAAGGAGATTCTGAAGAATATACTAGAGCTTTCAATCATTTAAAAATCACTTTGTGTGATTAATAGGCTGAAATGTTAGTTATTCATTGAAAATCTTCACCATCAAGAGTTGAACTTGAGAACTGGATCAGTCCAAGAATAAGTCAGATCCTGTGAAATGAATCATTTGAAAAGATACGTTTTGTTCTCTCAAAAACGTGCCAGTGAGAACTAGGGTAGATGTAAAGATTTTCAGTGAATAATAAATGACATTTCAATCTGTTCTTCACACAAAGCTATTATAGGCTTCAGAAGGCTTGGAATACGGTGCACAAGTCATATTTCTTCTTTTATGTTCCACTGAAGAAAGACAGTCATATGGGGTTGGAACAACATGATGGTGAGTGAATGATGACCCAATTTTCATTTTTGGATGAGCTATTTCTTTAAAGTAGATCTTTATAATTTATAAAGTTCAAAAAGTGAATTTATTTACAGTTATGCTACATCACTGGCCATGACTAACCATTGCGTCTTAAAGATTTTGTTGTTTAAACCACTGTATGGCCTTATAACCAAAAGGTATGGTATTCTTTGTAAAGAAGACACTCCAAGCTTTCAAATGAACCCATATATGGGCTGATACCATATAAGGAAGGCTATGTAAATGAAGCATAAACATTTTTAACGTGATTTTGGACCCGTATCCGGGTCCACCGAGTTTAACTGGTTTTTAACTGACATTTTATAAGCTAAATAAAATAAAAAAACAAAGTAATAAGTCACTGTATATGAAATCACTGTATATTTATTTAAGCAGATTTTGTTTAGAGAGATAAATGCAGTAAAAATACGTTTTAAAACCATTCCATAAAGTGCATATGTAGCTGATGATTTACTTGAAGAAAAAACATCAGCATATATCTCACATATATAAAGATGTGGTTTTGAAGGAATAAAAGCAACAGAATATTATTGTAGGGGTTAGACAACCACAGACATCCCACTTAACCACTTCAACCAACTCTACAGCCACAGGGTCGGGCAGAAAATGACTTAAAGGGGTCCTATTATGCTCTTTTACAAAGTCTTGATTTTGTTTTGGGGGTGTACTAGAACAGGCTCTCATACTAGATTGTTCGAAAAACACATTAGTTTCACATATTTTACATTATAACAACACCTCTCTACCCAGTCTGGCATGAACGGCTCGAATAGTTCCTGTATCAAATGAAGGCCCGCCTTCTGAAATACGAAATAACATGTTCTTTATTGCAGTCTGGAGTATGGTCTCTATCACTGATAAAGTGGATAGGATCACAGCTTTGGCTAGTGTGTTACATCTCCTCCCTTCTGGTGGAGAAAGACCAAACCAAATTCAACCAAGTGTGCTCGCAGTGTTTGGTTTATTTTTGTGGTCAGCTCTGACCAAGCTTATATTGGAATAAGGATTCTTCTTTGGTTTATGACACTTTACAACATTTCCAATACATTATTACAAAGTCCACTACATTTTATATACAAAATAAAAAATACAGTACTGTGTGTAAATTATAGTTTTAATTCCATTTGTTAAAACTAAAAAAAGGTAACAGTAATGTATCATTGTTCAAGAAAATTTTCATTTGTTGCTTGCAAGGTCAGGGCTTTGAATTTATATTTACAGCACATTGTTTTGCTGTGATCTTTCTCAGATTTGTATCTGTGTGCTGTGCTCATCTGCTCTATCGGTCTGGTCTGTATGTTTGTCTTTGCCATGACTATCACATGTCAGCACCTGCAGCACAAACGAAGACTACGAGGTGATGAGCTTTTTAACTTAGTCAAATCATTTACATGATACTTTTAAAAATACTGTCATCAGAGCAAAATGCATTTCAAAATACATCAAAAATTATTTTATTCTTATTGTATAATTGTTTTTCTTATTACCACACACATACTATTTATGTATGTTCTTATGCTTGTTCAATTCTATCTCTATCTAGCCAGTTATTACCTTGTGAAGTGTCCTGAAAACAGGTAAACCTATGCAATATGATTTACCACTGCTTTACTGTTATACAGTAAGTGATTGACTGATTGATTAATTGATTGATTATTAGATTGATTCTAAGAATAACATCGTTCTGTTTTATATATCCAGTTCAGGAGAGACAGTTACCAGTGTGTCCAGCTCCTCTCCTGCAATGCACAGAAAAGAGAGACGACACAAACTCAGAGACATCACTGAACAGCTGCGACCACCACAGATACCAGCTAAAGGTACGTAACAGACTGAAACACTTACATTATAAATACATGAATTAATTGTAATTTACAGTGAAATTAGTATATGTAAAAATGAACATTAACCAAAGTTAATAAATGCTTTAAATTATTTGATGTTACCAAATGTTGAACCCTTAAAAGTATCACACATTTTGTTATATTTTTTTCTTTCTTTCTTTTAATTTTTTTCTAGCACCTGTACCAAGAAAGCCACGTAGGACCAAACTTTTAAAGGCACAACCTACAAAAATGGTAGGAATGCTAACTCTTATTGAACTCATTTTACATAAGAGCATTATTTTCTTTCATACTAAAGCATTTAAAAAATTAAGTGATGCTGATAGGGTTTCATAATTGTCCTAAATATATATCTTGATAAATTACTTGTTTTATAATCTATTTTGGACGTTTAATCTTTTTATTCACAATTTTATAATATTTGCATCTAACGACACACTTTCTTTAGCCTCTCAATTGAATTTTCACAAACGAGAAACATGCAAGAGGGAAATAATGTGGCTTTCTCATTGAGCTTTATGTTCGGCACAGTTATTGCTATACCAACTTCCATTTATGGGTGTTATAATTTTATTTACTATTATTGCTTTCCAAAGCGTGATTATTTATTTAACATGCTTGATTCATATTAGATTAGTTTCCAGGGAAATCATCACCGAAATGCAGAAAAGCAGCAAAAAACAGAAAATGTTTTACGGTCCAGCATTGTATTGTGAAATCCGGTTGTAATCTGGTTGGTCAACGATAAGCTGTATATACTCTCTACTAGCAGAACACAGACTTCTTTAAATAAGTGTGATTGGCAGAGGATCGGAGAACATTTATATGTCTATCCTACTGCTCTAGCCACTTGCTTTGTTTGCATTCCATTTCAGAAGTACTTCCTTTGACCATCTGAAATATATGTTTATCAGATGAAGTGGTTGTTCCGACATACTTGAGACTCCTAGTTAGAACCGTCTATGAACAATCCTAAAATTATACCTAAATTTCATGTTGTTCTGACCCCACATTCCCAAGAGAAACTCCTCTTTCAGACCTCTGACCACATACTGTAGTCTTCATATATCTGAAACGCCCTGCTCTCTTCTCATCCTCAAGCCAAGGGTGGTAGAGGACAGTCTGACATATGCAGAGCTGGAGCTGGTGAAACCGAAGCCTGAGCTGAATACAGACTTGCCTGGATGTGCACAACTTGAGCCTAAAACACAATGCACGGGGACTGTATATGCCCAAATACTCTTTGTGGAGAAGCAAGTGTAAATATGTACAGTATAGAGTTTCATACCAAAATTATTTATGAGATTAAAATATTTTTACCTACATACTGATGTTCTGTTATTTCACGTGTACTAGTATTAGTATAAAATCTGTCATACAACAGCAGCATTTTCTTATATATGGGCACATTTATGCACCTATGGATTTGAGACCTTTTTTTCTTTATCCAAAAGTAAGGATTGCATTAAGGATTTAACTCCAAACATGCATAATTTGATTATGCAATTTTGTAAAGTATGTAACAAATTTTTTTTTGCTATGTTGTATAAAATAAAGATGAATCCTCTAAAAGCGGAGGATGACACAGTATGAGCAAAAGAGCACACTGATTTATTGTCTCATTTATGTCCGCTTAAACAGGTTGTCATTGTGTTGTTTATTGAAGCATATCAAAGAACATTTAACCCTCTGATATAACTAGAATAAGACCTAAGATCAATTACTTTGGTTGTTGTAGTTTACTTTACGTGACTAAAAATGCAAATATTAGCAACAGTGTATTATGGTACGTACATGGAGTATGTTATTTTTAAGCAAAATACATAATACATTTATATTTATCATACAATGCAATTTGTGTATTATAATGGTATTTTAGAATTGTTTATAATAATTTAATTTATTTAAAATAAATACTAGAAACATGAACATTTATATTATGATTTAGAAATAAAGCATTATGGTATAGACAAGCCAGGTTCTTCAAACACTACAGATAATACAGTACAGTAATAAAATCTGTAATATTTTCTAATTCAGGGGCTGATTAATCATTTTAACCATGCTATTGGTTAGCTACAAATAGGCATATATAATTGAACATATAATATCTTTAACAGCTAAAACCTGTTATCTACACAATTAGGTTTAGACAAGATGAGTGCAAGAGAGCGGCTATTATAAGCATAAAGCCATTGATACAACGCACATTATGACATCTCAGTTTGTCTTGTCCTCTCTTATCGTCCGTTCTTGAGTTGTCTCTCTTTTTCTCTCTCTCTCCGTTTCTCCCACACGCAGCTAAGAGCCAGTGACTGTGATGAACCCTTTAATGGTTACATTTATTAAAATCATACTAATTGTAATCATGCTTAATAATTAGCTTTACAGTGCATTATAATTGGGTTAGGCTACAAGATGGTTCTGCCTAGGTGCTATAATTTATTTGATTTAATTATTCAGAGGAGCCCAAATGGTTTGACATTTAATATCATAAACCCACCGACGTATTAAAATTGAGATGGCTATTGTCTTTTGAGAAGGTCATTTGCTTCTCTTCGTGAGATATATGGTGATTATTTTCCAGTCTATTAAGCGCCTCTACTTAGCACAATTAGCCGCATGCACAAAGGTTAAAGAGAGCGACTCTCCCCCTTCATTGTGGTCACAGCGCATATTAATGAGCAGATGCAGCGTGAGGATGGCAGAGGGGCCCAGCCCAGCCCAACCCAACCCAGGAAGGAGCTCAGATGGAGTGAGAGAGAAGGATACAGTTTCTCCTGCGTCCTCAGCCCTGGATCACTCTGAAACATTAGCGTCGAGCGTAAACACAGCTATACTCTTCATCAAAGCCTGCCTGTCTCGTCTCGTCTAAACTTACCATGACCTTCTGCTGTCCCGCTTTGTTTTTGCTCTGCAGGAGTGTTTATATGCTGCAGCAGTGGAGCGCTTTTTGCCCCGGATCTTCTCAGAGAGAGGCCTCTGTGCTCTTTTGTATGGAGCTACAGCATGTGCAGATGTTGCAAGCACAAAACCCAGAACAAAGCGAGAATGTCAGCTGTACTCAGGGGACAGAAATCCACAAACACAGTGTGTACCACAAACTACACAGAGATGCGTACATTTGGCCATTAAAAGCAGAGCACATTCATCTGCTCTCAATTCTGTTGTTTTGAACAACACCCTTGACCAAATATAAAGAGGCAGCAGCAAAGAAAAAAACTCATTTTCCGCACTGAGCTGCAACTTCAGCAAAAAAATAAAGTCTGTGATTATTTACTCACGCTCATGTTGTTCCAAACCTGCTGTTATTTTCGCCGAGAAACTTCAAATGAGAAAATCTGAAGAATTTTTACACCACTCTTTACTTCGCAAGCAGTTAATAGCGACCTAAGGGAGATAATATTTTTACACGACAGCCATTTTATGCGCTGAGCTTGCAACTTTGAAAGAAACGGTTAAGCAAATATGTATATGGTTGTTTACTCACGCTCATGTCGTTCCTTGTGCTTTTATTTTAAACTCCAAAGGTGAAAAACTGTTTGTTTGTTAGTTTAACCACTCTTTTCCTCACATTCAGTTCATAGTGACGTCTATAGGCTACTCGATTCGCGCCATCCAGCGGTGTCCTCCATGGCAACGCTTTATCAAAAAACCGGCACTATTTTCATGTCTCTCATTTTTGTGTAGGCTATACATGTTTATAATGTTGTATACTTCTTAAAAAATAAATCACGTCTCTCGCCTGGCACACTGCGTGCGGAGTCAGTCTCACGCTGTTTCATACAAACAACTGGCGTCATCTTGCGGTTCAGTTACCGATTGCAGTAAAAATCAAAAACATTTCCTAAGATCAATTTTGTAAAATACAAATAAAGTTACAAAATTCAATCCAAACTCGCATATTTAAAGTCACCATATAAAATAAACAACTACATGGCAATAGCCTACAAACTAAGTTTGGAACAAACTGTTGTTTTTTTTACTATTTTAACGAACAATTCCTTTATATATATATATATATATATATA